TCGACTCTGAGGATCCCCGTGCTCACACACATGGGGGGGGGGGGGAGGAGGGGAAGACGAACCACACACGATTGAAGGGGGGGGAGGAGGGGAGGGGGGGGGGAAGGAGGGGAGGGGGGAGGGGGGGAAGGGGGAAAGACGAACCACACACGATTGAAGCTGCTGCCAGGGCAAGAGAGCAGCAAACGTAAAACTGACCGAAAGGGGGGAAGGGGGGTTGCACAGTGCGCGTCACGGCAGTTAGATACCCAACATCTTTCTTATGACTCCGCCGGCTCCGCCGGCTCCGCTACTAGCTAAACAATTGGGGAGCACAACCTAACGAAGTGGGGCGCAGGGAAATCCTTAATTGGAGACGAGCGATTCCATTGGGTTGAGTCTGGTGCAGGTGTCAGTTTTACATTCGGGTTTTACACACAAAAAAACCATTTTTTACTATTACAGAGTGGCTGTGTGGCTTCTGGGCCATTTCGCATGCACCTGGATACATCCGGTCTAGGACAGCTTATGACGGCTGCAAACGCAGCTGTGCACACAAGAGGACCAAACGCCTCCAACGCCTCCTTAATAACTTGCTCGCTAGCAGCCCCTCCCAAAGGTCCGCACGACCCGGCCCTTCAGGATTCATCCGGGGGTGGGGGGACTATTACGCACACGTGGAGAGTGCCCGGGCGCCATCTCCCCTTCCCCTTCCCCCTCCCCTTTCCCCTTCCCCCTCCCCCTTCCCCCTCCCCCTTCCCCCTTCCCCTTCCCCCTCCCCCTTCCCCTTTCCCTTCCCCCTCCCCCAGCCCCAGCCCCAGCCCCCCTCACCAGCACCACCGTGTCCAGGTCCAGCTCTCTAAACCTAGTCAGGTCGGACAAGGAGAACCGACCAGCGGCCAACAGCTCGTCAAAAACACGCTGCGGGGGAAAGGCGGGGGAAAGGCGGGGGAAAAGACCGGGGGGTGAGGGGAAAGAGGGCTTTGCAGGGATTAGCGGTCGTGGAAAGGGGGAGCTAGAACACGGGGGGGAGATCACGGGGGGAAGAACACGATGGCTAGGAAAAATGCCACAGGATAACGATAACTTTGGGGAGGAGGGCAAGGCAGGATGGGTGCTTGTCACGTACAAGCCAAAGCCGCTGCTGACGTTTCCAAAGTGACAGCGGACAGTCGGTACGGCGCCGCCGTACCTGATGAACACGCCGTACCACGTGTCCCCACCTGCACCAGGTCGGCGGGGAGCGCCTCCAGGGACGACGCAGGTAGTGAGTCCCATGCGGCTGCCACTGCGGCTATGCATAAGTCCTTCGGGGAGGGAGGCGGTACAGGTGACGGGGGATGTAGCAGAAAAAAAGGTGAAAAGAATGGAACCCAGATGGAAATAAAAGATTTCTGACAAAGTTTGTCATTATGGCGCAAATACTGATGTTTAACCGAGTCAGGGCCATCGCATAGCCAGCCATTGCACTGTGGAAAGGCCTACGCCTTTGGGAAGGAAGGAAACGCGGATGGAGGGACTTGCTGATGAAATCATCTGATATCAAGAGGAAATGGGGATCGGGGTTGCGAGCTGCTGTAGAAAAGGCTAGGAACACAGTGCGAGTTGGGGGATGAGACTGCACAACGGAATGGCTCGAGGTAGGGCCTGGTCGGGAGGGTTGTACCTAGCCGTTTTCCTTGGAGATGAAGCTAGCATGCCCTATCCAGTCTGGAAGGCCGAAGAAGGTCTTCTGTCGACCGGCACTGAAGCGTGTGTGTGGGCATTGCGGGGCGGTCCTGGCACACGCAACAAGGTAACATCTAGCATGGGCGGTCCAGGTCAGCAATTGAAATCAGGTAATAAAAGTAAGTCTCATTTCCTCTGGATCACTTGCCTGAAGAGTGTCCCGAGGCCGCGTCGCCAACTCCTTAGGGTTCTTCTGGCACCATATTTTTGAAGTAGGCACAACAGCTTCAGCTGGAGCCTGAAAGTGACAAACGATGTCACGTTAACCCCAAATTCGGGCCTTGGCGAGGCTATAGGCCGCAATCAGGTTAAAGTACCAACTGCAAAACGAAACACACACCTGAACCTCTGTAGTATCGGCTGCCCGTTTCTTTGAGCGCAAACAAATATTTCCCATTCGCAAGGATTATGTGATATCCTATTGCAAAGGGACGGAGTTTCCTTATGGCAAGGCGGAGTGTTACAAGCGCCGTGCTGCGTTTCCAAAATCTAGCCGGGAACCCCCTTTACAATCCTACAGAATACGTAAAGAAACTTAACTGAATTACAAAACTTGTGTCGGAACGCTGATTACAAACCAACGCTGTACAGCTGACCTGGACTAGTCCAGCTACACCAAAGTTGAACTTTGCCTTCGTCGCATTTTTGACGTCGTGCAAGATAAGTGTATGAAAAATGTTGTATAAATCCCATCCTATTTGCCGCCCTGTGACATACGTCGGGTAGGTATACGTGCCCACGTTTGGCCCGGACGCCAGCAGTGGAGATGTTCTAGATTTGGACAAAAGGTTTCCTGTCCTGTCCTACCCGAACCGATATTATCCGAAATTTCGGTCATCCGCAATGTATGAGGCGAAAGTTTGCGCGTTAGGGTGTTACCGCCTCTGCAATTACCCCAAGACGCAGGAAGTCGAGCAGGCTAGGATTGGCTAGGCGTGGGTCTCTGGATTACACTGAAAACGTGTGTAAACCTTCAATGGATGATCTTCGTGCGTTTGGTGAGCGTTTCCCGCAAGCGTCGATTGCTCGTGACGATAAACGCGCGAAGATCTGATGCGCCGGCTCATGGACCTTCAACTCATGGGAAGTGTACAAGTCCCTTCGGATAAAACAGGATGAAACAGGATGAAAAGCCCATATTTCGACGAGGAGGAAAACCGAGGGCACCGAGGCAGCAGTGCATTACGGGGTTTAGCCTAGATTATTTATTTATTATGCATAACCTAGGCTAGCTCGGTTGTCCCCTGTCGGTTGGTGTCGGTTGTATAGTTGTTTGTGAGTACACGAAACATGGACAGCTCATAGGCGCATTCATAGTATCGATGGCTATCGATACTATGGCTATCGTATTCGCCTGCATCCGCGTTGAAGCTAGTAGCTCATGGCCATGGCTACAGAACGTGATGAGGGCAGGAGGTCCTCGATCCGGCAGAAGATGGAGCACGGCGCTTGCTTGCCCGGTTCGGGAAGTTTTCCGAGCTCTTTTCTGAAACTGATGTACTCGGCGATGCATCGCTTCATCACATCATACATCCGTCCGTTTTTTGGAGGTAGTTTGTTATTGAGGTATCATCTAAAGCTGTCTAAAGGCACAGCAGCCCGCAAGAGCGATTACGCAAATCTCCCTCTCTCGCATCTTAGCCGTACATGCTCTGGCTACTACTCCAGTAGACGAACTTTTCTACTACTCTAGTAGCCACCACCCCGTGACGGGCACATATTATTTGTAATTTTACACTATAGTAGTGTAAGAAATTAAATGGCATTGTTTCAATGAAGCATTGCGACGTCACTGGGTGCCAGCGCTCGGCCGCCGGTGGTAGTGGCGCCTCGGGTGGTGATGGCGGGGCTGGCGGCTTGGAGGAGGGTCGTTTGGAGGGCGGGGCTGGCGGCGACGCTGCTTGCAGCCACGGCGCTGATGATGACGTGGACCCTCCCCCCCCCGCCACCACAACTGAAGGAGGCAAGCGGACCCCAGCGGCCAAAGGTGGGTAGAATGGTTTCTATGCACGTGGTCTTTGTTAGTCCATTCCGTATGCATGTGCTTGCTACTCGATGACTGCCGTTGTTCCAAGTATGTGGTACGGAACCCAAAGTGAATCTTCCATGCCCGTGCTGTCCACTGGCAACCTTGTGTTCCTCACGCGGCCAACGAACTGCAGGGCCCACCACTACCCTGCAGTGAAGGACCCTGGACAGTACGGACGGTGGTTGGTTCCAGTCAACAGCAGCAATACCCATTGGTGGCTGTTGGTCGTCGACACCAGGGCGTGTGTCATGACTGTGTACGATTCCCTCGAGGCCAAGCCTGCATGGGCGCACACCAGGGTGATCAAGATGGTGTCCCGATACTTCATGCCGGTCATAAACCCTGCCGCGTGGGAGATCCGGCATCCTGACGTCCCCAGGCAGAACGACACCCAGAGCTGCGGCTACTATGTGGCCGAGTTTGGACAGCGCCTGTGCACCGGGCAGAGCGTGGGCGCCTCACCAGTGAATGTCAGTGAGATCGTTCAGACGGTGCTTTCCATGATGCTGGGCTTCAACGTTCGCAAGTTTGGGGCGTAGTTGAACTCACTCCATGTACCTTGTCTTCCTGATACCATGTTCTGAGGACTGCCGTGCAGTCGAGTGCCTATGCGACTCGTCTGGTGTCAGGGGCGCCGTTTTGTAGTGTGCCGTGTGGAGACAGCGTACGTTGTGTCAGCAGCCAGCTGGCGAGACTGCTTGTTCTACTAGATTAGTAGCCAGATGGGCTGTGTCCACTACCGCAGTAGCCGCGGCTCTCGTGTGTCGTGCGCATAGGTATGGTTAATCTTCAACCTCAAAGATGTTGGTATCCTCATCTTCCTTGAAACACTGCTCCTCCTCCTCGCCATCATTATCATCCTCATACTGCTCCACTTCATGGATATCAATCTCCAGTTCTTGTACTCATTCGATCCGTTACAATAACGCTAGCGACGGCTCCAGCAGCAATGCCGCCAGGAACCACCTAGCTGGAAACCCAACAAGCCGCTTACCGCAGTCTGCTACCAACCGACGGCGGACCGAGCCGCCCCAAACCTCCAACGTCCCCCAACCCATGGCGCCGCCCCGCTGATCGGCTGGGCGCTGCCCCGGTCGTCCCGCTGATCGGCTTGACCGTCCTGTGACCCTTACTCCCCACCTGTACCCCATTTTTATGTTGGACCAGTGGCCGGCCGTGACCTAGGCTTCCGACCACCGAGCTGTTTACTCTGCTTTGTCCAAGAACCCGCCTTCTAGTACCAAGAAGCCTACACATCCTCCCCACCCAGTAACTCAACACCACTCGCCAAGCCAATCAGCTGGCCATGCAAGATGGAGGCAGCCACCGCTTGGGCCTCATGAGCAGCGATGAGGAGCCTCTCATATCGGCTCTGCTCTCCCGCAACAGCCTTCAACATCCCTGTCACGACCTCTTTTGCCTGCTGCACAACACCTACTCCTCCCAATGTAGGCTGGTCTTTGTCTGTAGACCATTTGGCCCCCAAAAGCCTCCTGGATAGCAGCAGCGACTTTCTCCCGATCATACTCGACACCTGCCCCAGCAGCTGAAAGGGCCATATCCGCACACTGCAGCTCGACAAGTCGCTTCTGAAGCAGCTGGGCTTTGCAGATGTAGAGCACCACCATATCCATCAACTCCCCCTGAATGAGCTCGCATTCCTCTCCACAACGGTACCATCGCTGTGTAAGGTCCTCAAGGGAGGTGAGCTCCCATTTGAAACCAGCAAGCTCCTCCCAGGGCAGAACAACACGCCCAGCAGGACCAGCGCTACTAGTATAGTGGGCACAGCGCGCCTGGCTACTGCACTAGTAGAATGCCGCGGGTGGTGACACGTCAGCGTGGCGGCTACTAGTATAGTGGACACAGCGCGCCTGGCTACTGCACTAGTAGAATGCCGCGGGTGGTGACACGTCAGCGTGGCGGCTACTAGTATAGTGGACACAGCACGCCTGGCTACAGCAACTAGTAGAATGCCGCGGGTGGTGACACGTCAGCGCCACGGCACATCAGGAGCTCTAGACAAGAAACGTCTTCGCCATTTCCTAATAGTAAAGAAAGCTGGACGTGTTAAATGTAGATGAAAAAGGGAGGCACTGCGACTTTGGCGTCTACTGGGATAGTAGCCAAGTACGTCTACTGGAGTAGTAGCCACAACATGTACAGATGAGCTGTCTCTCGGTCTATATACTATTATTTATTATGCGGCCGTGAATATAACAATGTTGTAGTTGCACCCTAAAACCCTAATGCATGTGGAGGTAAAGTTTTACCGAAGGAAAAATATTTCCAAAACTACAAAACTGAGGAGGGATTGCTCCCGGTTTTTGCTCCGGCTTCACCAATTCCCTTGTCTTGCAGTTGTACGGTCGTTTAGTAATAATTCTTCTTACAACTCATGTTGTGCGGTCAGTCATCGACGTCGTCCAGCAAGCTGGCACCCTGGGGGGGCTCAATCGCGGCCGTGGAGTACTCTGCTACCCCATTCAAAAGAGCCGGGGGTGCTGCTCCTGCCGGGTCAGGGCCCCGTGTAACTCCCCCCACGTCCCCCCCAACCCCACCGGCAACCCCGCTACAGCTGCTGCAGCTGCGTTTTGTGTCGCGATGGTTACTGCTCTCATTTCCTTTAGGCCCTGCTAGGCTAGCATCATTGCCCCCACCATCAGCTACTCCAGATGCCCCACTTGGTTCACACTCTTCCGCCGCCGCGTCGCTCCGGGCACCCCCCAACCCTACGGGCGCCTTCGCCGCCGTGTCAGCAGCAGTGGCTGCCGTACTTCCCCTCGTCGCCGGTGCACCCGGCACGATCGACGTCCCTGCCCCATCACCACCCGCC